CTGACCGCCGCATTCACCTGACAAGTCATGTGAAGCGACGAATCAAGATTTATTTGGATTCTTGACCGGCTTATGATGTATGCTTTTCCCTTGGAGCTTTCACTACTGTAACTGCTGGATTCTGGAATCACTGAGACCCTGCTGCTTACCTCCCTGCCACCCTGGTAAATTCCCTTGGCTAATTTAGGTATGTCTAAGACCCAGACTCACTTGACTCACCTGTAACTGCTTCTCGTGTCACTTACTACCTGCAGACACTGGATATGCATGCAGCATAGGTGCTATATGAGCAAAGATAGTGTGTGTTTTTAATGTTTCATCTCTCTCAGGTGCAGAATGCAAGCCAGTACTGTCTGCTCCAAGCAGCAGCTGCTTTTTGCAGTCCCAGCCCAAGGTCTTTCTTAACCCTGTTCCCATAGAATCATAGAGTTGGAAGAGACCACAAGGGCCAACCAGTCCAACCCCATTCTGCCATGCAGGAACTCCCAAAAAGGAGGTGACCTGGCAGCCTTTGGAGATTGCACTTGGAACACAATGCCTGCAATGTATGTGAACCCAAACTGAGCCCCAGATGCTTCCCTTCATGAATGAACTGTCAGACACTCTCTGCCATCTCCAAATAAACTTCTTGCTATGAAAAGTAGGAAACCAAACTATTAATTTGAAGGCTATCACATGTTCTCCGGTCCCAGTCTTGATACATGCTTATTAATGTGTGCGTTCATTAATTTGTCTGCTATTCTTTCTACAGCAAACTCTGCTCAGAGCAGCTCACACACAGACTGGCTTGTCAAAATAAATTCCATTTGAAAGGGGAGGGAAACACTTTGCAAAACATTAACCAGCTGAAATAAAGACCGAGCAAATAACACAAGTCAAACGTTTCATGAGCAGAAGGCTGAAACGCACTCCTTCATATGTTGCTGGATGACAACTCCCATTATCCCTAGAAAGGACAATCAATGTTGAGGAATGCTGGGAAATGCTGCTGAGAAACAGTTCAGCTACTGGAGGGGTGGCACTTTTCCCACCTCTGGTTTCATAGATAAATACAGGTCAAAATTAAAATTAATTCACAAAAAAATCTCTAACAATAAATGTTGGGCCCATGCAAGCCCTAGCAGCCACATTCAAACATAGATCAGAAGAAGGTACAATCTTTCCATTGAGTTAAGGCCAGAATCTATGCATAACATTGCCAATAATAATAAAAGTAGCTGGACATTTGAATCAGATACTAGAATTGTAATGAATTATAATATTCATTGCAAGTTTGTAGCAGTGGAGTTCCACATTATGCATGTTGTGCATTGATGCAGACTGTATGTTGCACATGTCCATTTATTTGCACATATCATAATTCACTAGTGAGGTGGCACTGCACAGCTGCAGCATAACTCCCTGAACATAAAATCATGCTCCATCTTTTTGGTGTTGGATCTTGGCCCCGGCGTTTCTCAGCTGGCTCTCTCCCTCTAAAGGAAATCCCAAAGGGAAATGTTGGAGAGTGCCCCCCTTTCAATGGCAATGAATCCACTGCAGAGTTTAACCTTCTCTTTAAAAGAGCTGTCCATGGTGCTGAGCCCTATTGTCAAGTCTTACCTGGAGGTGGCTTCTTCAGATGAAGAAGGAAAGAGGAGAGCCAGGAAACTAGGTCCCAGAAGCTGGCAGCCCTTGGCACAGGCCAAGCTTGGTCCAAGCCAGACAGCAGCTCCTGCAACCATCAATTCAGATGCCAGGTGCAAAAGGTTAGGCAATGCCCTGCTCCACTTTAAATGCAGAACAGCTGAGCAAATGAAGCCAGCTGGGATGATTAACTGCTGACTATGGATTACTACAGTAACTCCACTGAAGCCATTCCTTTGCTGCACAACTACAACTCCCACACCTCTGTGTATCCCAGGGATAGGCAACCTTTCCCCTTTAAGGGCCGAGGGACTTCAGCTCCCAGAAGCCTCAGCCATGTTGGCCAATAGTCCCATGTTGGCCAATAGCTCCTGGGATTCTGGGAGCTGAAGTCCCTCGGCCCTTAAAGGGGAAAGGTTGCCTACCCCTGGTGTATCCTGTCTGACATCTCCAGCTTCCTGGATCTTTGGCCTTTTTTGGTTCTTAATTTTAGACTAATCTTTTTGGCAGTTCCCCCTCTTGGCTTTGAGTCTACATAAGATTATTTTCTGAGGCTCACATGGGCCTCCATTGGCTTTAAACGGGACATCTATTTTGCAAAATGAGTACAGATTCAAGCCTGGAGTGGATTCCTCATCCCACTGACATGGATCCAACCAGCTACCACTGTTGTTTGGCAGGTCATCCGTCATAAAGAGGTATACATTCTTCAGGATCCCTATTTCTATACATCCCTATCCCTATACATGTTTGAAGGCAATGTGTGTCAGAGACTGCTGCACAGTTCAGGACCCAAACATAGGAAGCCCAGGGACTGCGGCAACTCCTGGACCTGTGAAAGATTGTAATTATCAGTTTGGGAAACATCCCTGGAACATCCTTGCACATTTTCTAAAAAAAAAAAAAAAAAAAGATTGGCTCAGCATTTTATGGCACAGGTTCTGTTTTCTTCAAAACAGAGTTTCCATTTTCATGGGAAGACAAATATGTCTCCGTGGCTCACACCGTCCCAAACTGATGCTGCCAGGAATGGGAAGGAGCTGCAGTCAAGACAATTGAGCCTCTGCAACTTCAGCCTACTACTGACTGCAGATTTGAAAAAAGGAAATGGTAAGAGAAATGCACACAGCCCCTCCGGTCCTGGGAGAGGCACAAAAAGCAACCGTTTATCTCCATCAGTGCAGAGATAAAAATGTCTGGGAGAGGAACCATGTGTCCTACCTCTGCCTTGCCTGACATGTGGGTTAAATCCTGCCTTAGGGAGATTAGTCCTGAAGATCTTCACAAACCTGCAGGCATTTTGGACTCCAAATCCCAGGTTTCCTGGCCATCAGCTGAGCTGACTGAAACTGCTGCCGCACTGCAGAATTAATGCAGTTTGACACTGCTTTAACTGCCATGGCTCCATCCTATGGAGCCCTGGGATCTGTAGTTTGTCAGAGAGATCTGGTGCCACAACAGCCTATCTCACAGAACTACAAATCCCAGAATTCCATAGCATGGAGTTAATTCTTTCCTGCTGTTGACACCTGCTACATCGCTGACCACTAATCAAGCTTATCTTGTCACAGTGATGTGGGTCAGCTTTTTGGAACTAAACCAAGGCTTGGGAAGACTTGGAATCATAGCCAGTTCCAGGCAATATAGCAGGGGTAGGCAACCTTTCCCCTTTAAGGGCCGAGGGACTTCAGCTCCCAGAATCCCAGGAGCTATTGGCCAACATGGCTGAGGCTTCTGGGAGCTGAAGTCCCTCAGCCCTTAAAGGGGAAAGGTTGCCTACCCCTGCAATATAGTGTAGTTGTTTCAGCACTGGACTATGGCTCTGGAGACCAGAGTTCGAATCCCTGCTCAGCCATGGAAACCTACTGGGTAACCTTGGGTGAGTCACATACTCTCAGCCCCAGACAACCCCAAGATATGTTCATGTTAGGTTCACCATAAGTTGGAAACTACTTAAAGACACCCAACAACAACCACACCCAGCTCAGGACACAACTTATGGTGACCCTAAGCTGAGCATATCATGGGGTTTTCTGTGGCTGAGAGTATGTGATTCACCCAAGGT